TGCGGTTAGCGTTGCGTATCTTGCGGCCGCACTCGCTCACTCTCACTCTCACTCTCACTGTCTCACTGTCTCACTGTCTCTCTCTCTCTCTCTCATCTCTCTCATCTCTCTCATCTCTCTCATCTCTCTCATCTCTCTCATCTCTCTCATCTCTCTCATCTCTCTCATCTCTCTCATCTCTCTCTCTCCTCTCTGTCTCTCGTCTTTCCGTCTCTCTTCTCTCTCTTCTCTCGCAGGAGGGTCCGGGCAAAGAGCCACATATAAAGGACTCTTCACCCCTGCCTCCAAAAAGAGCGCCGTGTTTTTTCCTACCTCGCTGCCCTCCACTTTCCCATTCTGGAGCGCTAGCTTTCGCCCCCCCCCTTGGCCTCAAGTTGTTTTTCAATATTTTGTTCTCACGCATTTCTTGCACAGTTTTCCTTTTCCTAGTGCAAACGCGAGAGCCCTGGGAGACTCGAGCAAATGCTCTGGAGGCTCAGTGTGGGGCGACTCGCGCCACGAGTTTGCTTGAAATTCGATGCCCAATTCATCAGCGACCAGCCTGTTATTTCAGAGATGTTCCCGGCGTTATTCCGCATTTGAAGCAGCCTACTGCAGGATTTCGAGTGGGAAAGCGGTGATCCTCCCTTCCGGATGAAGACGAGAGGTGTTTGGTGCCATAGTGAGGGTCAGATCGTTTGGACCGAGACTTGGTCTTTTTTGGGGGCAAAACAGTTCAAGGTCTGTCCCTCGAACCGAAACTTCCACGAGTCAGAAGGGTTCCGCTGGGTTTCGGTTCGGGGTACACCGTCGTCGTCGGACATCCGCCCACCCGGGGGGCCGACCAGTTGCTCCGTGTCGCCACGTGGCCAGGCGACCGGAAACAGCACGGCCAAGGTGCGGCGGGAGGAGGGCATGGAGTGACCTTCACGATGCCAAGGTGACCCAAATTCCTTGAAACAACTAAGACTGTAAAAGAGACCCACATTGGAACATCATGGAACCAGATGGCATGGACCAGACTGGAAGACTAGCTTCCTCCACAAACCGGTTTTCAGGTTTCACGTTGATCTTCCAGGGCTTCATTGAATGCAAGAAGAGGTTGTTGCTTCTTGGTGTGGACACGCCAGTTGTTTTTTTCAATCTTTGCCGTGTTTGCCCAAACTTAGTGTATCCCTTTATACAAAGCCTTTAACTCTAACTTGGCGGTCACAATCGTCTGTCCGTCTGCAGGTGAAGCGAAACCCACGGGAGGCAGCGGGGCGACGACAGGATGAGTGGAGGGGTGGTGTGATACAACTGGTGCAGTCGCAGCGGGGGTGTAAAGCCCCATCCTCAGTGTTGGTTTCTTTAATTTGATCGGTGACATGACTTGCATAAACTGCCCTTTTCTTCGAAAGCTCTTTTTGGCAGGCTCATCCTTTGTTTGAAGCAGTGATCTCACCAGGCATGAAGCCTTTGCAAAGTCCTTCTTTGTTATATATGTATTGCGAAAGCCAGCTGATGGGGTAGGCCAAGTGCTTGATGGGTGAAGGAAGTAAGTATTACTGTAGGGGGGGTGGTGGGCCGAAACCAGAGCCTGCTGGGGGAGAGCGAGTAAAAGGGGTGGGCACAAATTCAACTCTATAAGAACCTTGGTGATGCGAGTGATGCCAAAAGGGTTCAACAGTGCAGCTTTTGCATCGCAAAGAGGCCGTGATACCACTCAAGTGGACAGCAGGATGTCCAGTTGTGTGTATGGAACGATGTAGGCATGTGTCTGTAAGCTCAGCTGTAAAGACGGCAGCCTGCAAGCAGGCGTCCGCTTTAAAGACATCAGCAAAGGACCGTTTTCTGTAGAGAAAGAACGTCACAAAGGCCAGGCCTGCTCAGCTGTAAAGAGAAGCAGGCGGCTTCGGTCTAGATGGAGTGAACGTGCAGAGCACCATTTAAGCGTGTGGTGGTGTTTTTCCAATAAGCCCGTGACAAAGGACATGGCAGATGTATCCTTGAGCCTTTTGATTGCATCTTGCGAGCCCAGCTTGAGATGAACTGTCGATGGTCCAGGTATGGAGAGACAGTGTGTTCTACAGCTCTACAGATCTAAAGGCAGAGAGCCGACTCCTGCACCCTTAAAGACAGTGTGTTCAACACCCATAAGCCGCATTTCTGGGTTGGCGCCCTTCTGCACTGTTTGAGGACCATCTCGCAACAAAAAGGGACATCTCTGGAAAAGTGTGTTCCAGCAACAGAAGCAGCCTTAAGAAGGAGTTTTGTTGCTGCCTGTCTGGGCTTTGTTTGGCGTTGCAAAAAGCGGGTTCTAGCAAAAGGACATTGGACAAAGCAGGGTGGGGCAAGTGCATCTTGGAACGTTGTGAAATGAATTTTGCGAATGAAAAGTATCAGAGGGTTTCTGCGGGGGTGTTGGAGACTCTCACATCGCTTGTTGGAGCTTCTTGCGTGAAACACGTTGCTCTGAGATGCTCTGAGTGTTTATGCGGGCTGGGATTTGATGTCTTAGCAGCTGGATGTTTTTTCTGAAACTTGGCCTCAGATCGTGGCATATAAAGGTTTTTGATCAGTTCTGGAAGTCTGTTAGTTTTGCTTCCGCTGACGTGCTGAAGTGCTGGCAGGCGACCTCCAAGCGCACCCGGGACAGCTGCTCATCGGTCAGACAGCTGAATTTCTCAGGAGTGGTGACCAGCGGCGGCTCAGGCTCAGGGGTGCCGATTCTGATTCGAACTTGTGGACGTTCAAACAGTGATGGGAAACCGATGTTGATTGCAAAGGACCACCACCCAGAAATTCCGTCGAGACGTCCGAATTCTTCCAATCGCAAACTTGCAATTCTCCAGGACTCTCCGATACTCCGTACTACCAGCCAATGCTGCTGGGAGAAGGACCGGACACTGAGAGTCAATTAGACGCAGAATGAATGGACTGGGTGAACGAATTGTCCTTTTTGTGCAACGCTTGCGAGGCTTCGGAGAGGAAAAGGAACACATCAGCGGGCTGTTCGTGCCCGGCGTGGATGACTCGAGGCATGCAGCATGCAACATTTTGTGAATTTTTTGGAGATGTCCCTTCCACACCCAATATGATTCCTTCAGCACCTGAGTCCTGAAGTTTCGCTTTTCATTTTCCAACAGGCCAAGCTCCCCCGCGGAGGAGCACACAGGCGGGCGCCCGGGTGCCACGCCCGGCACGCCGGGAAGCACAGCGCTGTAGCGCTTGAAGTGGTTTTGGTCCAAGGAGGTTTGTTATGATGCAAGTCTTGCTTTCCAGCTCAGGCCATATGAAGGCCCCGTGGTGACCCAGCCAAACCGACGACCGGTGGAGCTGAATCGCAAGGAGTCTGGATGCTCAGCTTGCTGAGCTGGAGTTGAGTTGGAGTTGTTCAGGAACGGAACATGTCCAAACTGTGGTGGGATGTGAGGTGTTGTGAGTAGTGTCTGAGTACAGTAGAGTGGTTGTGTGCAACTTCTTGTCTTGTAGAGAGGGATACTGACGACTTCAGAGTTCTGAGCCTTTTGCAAGGCCAGAAACTCAGACAGTGACGATCTCAGTCTGGCATTGCAAGACGCTACCCCCTATTCTAGGAGCAAAGCGCATCGCTACTAGGAGCAAGGACGCTACTAGGGGCTCCTGGCCTTACTACTAGTAACAAGAAGCTACTAGGACCCGGTTGCCGTGGCCCACACTTCTGTTCGGAAGGGAATGGCGGCGAATGACCCCCTGACTGAACATTTGTAGGAATTCCCGATGCAGGTGAACACAGTTGGATCAGTTTTCCTCTTCAGTTGCACCGCTAGGTGCTAGATCCGTCGGATTTTTCCTGGACTGACAGGTGTTGCAACGGCAAAACTCATCTGATGATGAAGTGACTTTCATTGAGGACAGACTTTTAGTGTTCCTGCAACTTACTTACATGCGCACTTTTCTTTCTGCAAAGGCAAGGTGATGCTAGGGATACAATTCTTTTCCACTTGAACATGCTGGTGTGACTGATGTGCCATTTTCTTGTTGCTGATGCAGACAGATCATAGCCCTAATGGCTGCTATCGTAATTGAACAGGATTTGTCCTTCCACTATTCCTGAAATAGCTGGGAAGCCAATAGCTGGGTTGTCATCTCCTATTCTCTACGATCCCAAAACGATGCGAGCTCGGAACTCTTGGGAACCCTGTGTGACTCTGGACTCCCGCCTCCGATGCCGGTGTGTTCCTTGCTCAGCACATTACATGCGTCAATCGAGGAGGCCGCTCAACGTTGAAGACGATTGAAAAAGAAACAAACTTGGGCGAAGAAGAACATACTTGTCATACAATGACAAGCACACAGATTAAAGATATATGACAAGAGGACCAATTGGTCCGACCAAGAAGGGTTGTGGATAAGGGTAGCCGGTAGAGGAGAAGGCGCCTTGTACAGTGGATTGGACAGTTATTGGGAGGGGATTTGGAGGAAGGAGGGGGTACTCTTATTCGTGACAGAATCCTTGTAAATTAAAAGACTTTGCAAAACATGAGTCAATGAGATCCTTGTTACGCCAGAGGGGACTTTGCAACGAAGCCTTTTGACGGGAAGATACTTTCAGAGGGATGGGGAACTCGTCGGGGTAGTTTCGGGAGGCTTTTGGCTGAGGCTAGCGGCTTTTTCATTGCACTTTTGCCCTATGCCGCCTCAACCGGCTTGATGCTTTTTTGTTTGCGTTTGTTGCTTTTTGTTGTCTTCAGTGGCTTGGTTTGCTTTTTCAGTGGCCTGCTCTTTGGAGTGGCCAGTTCATTCAGTACTACAGTACTGTGCTGCTCTTTGTGGCCAGGTTGTAGGTGAAAGCTGCGTGTGTTGCAGAGTGTGTTCTGTGCTGCCGGGCCCATCTCCGATGCCTTTGAGAGGCTTCTGAGCCAGCAAATACCAGCATCAGCTGAAAACTGTGTGCCCATATGTGCCCAGACTGGTGTAAGTAGCCGGAGAAGTTTGCTGCCGCAAAGCACGGCAGATCTTGAAACTAGGATCCAGTTTAGAGAAACTTAAGAACGAAACTTTGTCCTCCGACCAATAGCAAGATTATTGACGCTGACCACATTGACACTTGCCGAATGTGAGATGTCCTCCTTGCCCGGCACCACGAGACCACAGGATGCGGAACGAACACAAGTAAGTACCTGTGTCGCATGCATCACTTTCACAGTTGGAAATCTCCCCACACTCAGTGACAGTCCAAACATGCCAGTCGACTACTTCTGATTTGTTTACGAATTCTTTTCGTACTTGTTGGAGGCCAACTTCTGCTGTTCGTTGCAGCACTTTGGACGTTCTATCGTCAATTTCCTGCTGCCATTTGCATTACTGGTCACTGCTTGCTTGTTTTTACTGTCCGGCTGTCAACTTTTGCTGATATTTACAGCATGGTGGGCGTCACATTTCTATGCTGCTGCTTACAGTACGTTGCGCAGCCTGTTGTCGACTGTTGTCGTCATTTCACAATTAGCATGTTGCTTGACGTTCACTTTCACTACTTACTCCGCTCAAAACCGGTGTTTGTTCGCTCTTAAGAAAGGGAACACCTAGAGACAAGCACAGGCCTCATGGTGCCCGCTTTCTGAACAAAGAATCACGCTTAAACTCCTGCATGTCTCTGGCGCGTCCAGGATGATTCCATGCCAACGCCGGCCAAAGCGCCGGCCAAAGTGCCAGCCCCGCGCCGGTCCATGGGGCGCTCCTTTGGGGCTTGGGGTTCTCAGAAGGTGGCTCACAGCAGGTTTGGTACTGTTGGTGAGTTGGTGAAACTCCGACCTCGACACCCCAATTGTTTTTTGGAATGGACGGAGTGGTCAAGCCAAGGGATGAAAAAGAATTCCTTCCTTGCGCCAATGATTTGTAGATTTTTGACTTCCGAAGACGTGCCATTTCGTTTTGTATGCGTCCAGGTCGAGCAGCCCCTCGCCGCACCTTCGCGAAGGGTGGCTCCACGCCAGCGCACTTCTTCGAGTCAGAGCGCGGGAGGTCAAACGAGGGGTCAGACGCGTGGTTGGCGGTGGGGTGATTTATACTTTGGGGGGACCTTTTATGGATGGTCCACAGAGGAAGTATATAAATATATCATGGAGGACAGACAAGCTTCTTCTACGAACATCCAAGCAACTTGTTGCTGGCAGTGATGGTAGGGAAGGGTCTGCAAGGGTGCGGAGGGTGCGTTGCCACCTTGTGGCAGGTGAAAGCCATATGCCAAGGCCTCAAACGCCCCAGGCAAAGGAGGCACGATCAATGAACTTCCTATGGATTGCAGCTTGCCATTTTGCTTACGAGCAGAGGGCTTTTCAAGGCGAAACTCGTGTCCATGCCAGGAAGGTGGACGGGCTGCAGAGGGTGTAGCGCCTGCACCAAAGGTGCCATTAGAGGCACCTGTGCCGGTTGCAGCCCCGGCGCCAGTAGCAGAAGTGCCAACTTCAACACCACTTGCTGCCGCTGCGCCGCCCGTTGCAACCACACCCAAACCGGCCCCAATGCCGGAAGTTGCTGCGACAACTGCGGCTGGTGCTGAAAGGCCTGACTGCGCCGGGTGCCGACAATGAACCTGGATTTGCACTTTGTTTGGGAATTTTGGGACTCTTGACATGCGTGGACTCCAACAGGCTCCTTGGTAGAAGGGAAGACTAGACTTTGCCAGGACGTCAGCCTCGGCCAAACCTGCTGTCGCATCCATGGCAGGACGCCGGGCAGTTTTGCACTTCCAAAAGCGCCGACTTGAAGAGTCACTGAGCATGTTATCTCCTGTCCTTCACATCTTTTCACCAGTTCCATCGATTTCGTTCGGAGCGACGCTGGTTCTTTGTGCCGAAGAAGACAAGGAGTGGTGACTCGACATGTTCTTTTCCGGAGGCGCGCCGGGTGCCGCGGCCTCGGCGGCGGCCGCTGCTTCGCCGCCGCGCGGCGAAGTCTTTGGGGTCGACTCGGAGGACGAGGCGGCGGAGAAGTCTATCTCGGGGGTGGCTGGTGGCTGGTTGGATCTGGTGTGCTGGTCGTTGGATCTGAGAGACCTGGAGCCTCAAAGACGTGGAGGTTTGGGTGAAGGTCTGAAGGTGTGAAGTGGTGCCCCCCCCGAACCCCGACATGCATGGCGGGTCTGACGTACAGGACCTGTATGGCGGGTCGTACCAGGTAGGTCAAGGGGGCGGCCGCTTCTTGGAACGGGCAGCCGAGGCGAAGGATTCCTGGAACCGTTGGTGTGGGAAGGATGCCGAATGTGTTCGGGGTCGGGCGGCGATCGTCGATCGTGTACTTCCTTCGTGTCGCCGGCGGTGGAAGCAGCGATTGAAGCAGCAATCGAAGCTGCTCCGGTGGACAGGAGTCTGAAAGCACAGGAGTCAGAGAGCTCTGGTGAGGAGGAGTGCAGTTCGTTTGATGTGTGACGGTGCCCAGTAGCAGTATTTCATAATATGCAGCAATGCATGCATAGCAGTCTAGCTTGCAGCACCTCCTATAGTTCTTGGATGTTCTTGGACACAATGATGTGCAGGAATCAGAAGGCAGTGCAGGTGTCTTGCCCGCTCAGGCTGAATTTGGGAGTGTTCTTTTTTTTCCTTAGACTCTGAAAGTGGCCCGAATATGGAGACTGAATTATGTGAAGTGCACAGATCATTCAGCCTTTCCATTTTTGCTTCACTCATGCGTAAAGTCACGTTGAGACTGAACCACATGTCAATCCCTTTAGCTTGCCTTGCCAGGGTGGGGTGAGGAGAAAGTCTAATTCTGCAGAGGCTGGACATCCGCAGTTGCCACGAGTTCCCAAGATGTTCGTGATACGCATCAGAGTGGCAAAATTGCTGGGTGCCACTTTCAATGAGATCTTTGGCAGATGCAAGCCGTGATGCTCTGGGCCCATTTTGGCCCAAACGGGTCCTTTTCAGATCCCATGCAAAAGGGGAAATTGCAGAAATCCATGGATTGTCGAAGAAATGCTTCGAATGATGTGTACCCAATTTTGGTTCCAAAGAAGCAGGCAAATGACATCATGAAAATCATGAAACAACTTGATCGCTTGACTTGACCAGTCCATGATAGTCAGATCATGTCCTCGCTCTCTCTTCCGAGGTCAAGGACCTCATCGGTGAGTCCGACAGCGAATCCGAGGCCTGTGCTCCGTTGCACACCGACGGGGACAGCGCTTCCTCTTGAGGTTGGTTGGTAGTTAAGAGTCTGTTAGGAGTGACAAGTTCCCTTGCCCAGGCGCTAGTTACTTAGAAAAACACAGGCTGAAGACCTTTTTCTCGGTTCTTTGGAGACAGATAGACCGATGGTGGGAATCCAGCCGTAATCGTTTTAAGGTATCCGTTCTCCAGGAAAAGACAACTAAGAATACATATATATATATATACATATATATATATATACATATCTCTGACGTTCGGTCGCTCGGGCGCGGCGTGAGCGGCGCCGCGAGCTGCGTGTCCGGCCGCGAGGCGGCTCAAGTCTCTGAAAAGGGGCGAGCAAGGTCAGCCGCCCTCCTAGTCGAGATGATGTCCATCTCCGCAAAAGCCGACGACCAAGGTCGAGATGAGAAGGGTTCAAATCGATAGGAATACCAAACATAGGGGTATGGATACCAAGACCAAGCAAAACACCCGAGAGAACCCGAACAAAATCGACGTCCAACTGACGACAGAGATCGGTAAGAGCAACCCTAACCATATCGACCATGGTGGTGACCGTCGGTCGAACAAAAAGGTCCTGTACCTGCCTCATGACTCTGCGGCCTCCAACTTCTTCAAAGGGAAACAAGCCGGAGTCAACGAAAGCGTAAAGAAAAACGAACTCGAGAAAGCTACAAACGGTTCTACGGCTCTCAGGACCTCCGCAGCGGCGCAGCCAGCCGACCAGCTCCTTGTAGAAAGCGGGCGGCAAACGGCCTGGCTCCACCTGAAGGTCTCCTGTCGTCGCCAGTGCAGTCGTCAGGGTAGGTGGAAGTCCTGAGTCGGTGTCACTGGAAATGA